GATAAAAATATCACACATACACGTGTTTTATATATATATATATATATAATATATATATATATAATATATATAATAATATATATATATATATATATATATTATATATATATATATATATATAATATATATATATATTATAATATAAACACATGTGTTATATATATAACGCACACGCACACACATATATATATAGATATATAGATATAGATATATATGTATATATATATATATATATATATATATATATTATATATATATATATAATATATATATATATAAAAGAAACGCTGAAAGAATGATATGTACATAAATGTGTCGTGTGAGTGTGTGTGTGTGTGTTATACACACACACAAAACACACACACACGTATATATATAGAGACAAAATGAAAGAATACAAACACCACACACACACACACACACAACACACACACACACACACACACACACACACACACACACACACACACACACACACACACACACACACACACACACACACACACACACACATATATATATATATATATATATATATATATATTTATATATATACATATATATATATATATATATATATATAATACATATATATATATTATTATACATTTATATATAAACACACACATACATATGTATATATACACACACATATAGACACACACACAGATAATATATATATATATATATATATATATATATATATATTATATATATATATATATATATAATATATATATATATATACACACACACACACACACACACACACACACACACACACACACACACACACACACACACACACACACACACACACACACACACACACACATATATATATATATATATTATATATATATATATATATATATATATATATATTATATATATATATATATATGCATACACACACGTTCGTAAGCACTGTTCTTTGGGTCCGCGTGTCTGTCTATATATTTATGGACAGTCTCATTCGTCGCAGAACATAACGACGTAGTTTTAGAAAAAAATGCACCAGAAAAATAGTACACTATGTCAGCCTGCTCGGGATTGCTTGACGCTTAGAAGAGATTACAGGCAAAAGGGATTTATGTGATTATGGTGGGGAATCTTACATTAAATGGTGGTAAAGGTATGAATGAGACTGGGTATCTTCACAATACAAGAGATGTGCTCAGATACATCTCTTGTATTGTGAAGATATCCAGTCTCATTCACGCCTTTTCTACATTTGTCAACATGGATACGGTTCATTAAATAGAACAGTCAAGAATCGGGTAATTGTTACGGTACTTTTGAAGTGCTGTCTCGCTCTGCACTTCCAATTAGCTTTCCTGTCGAGAGGAAATTCATTTACATTTACAAACAAAGAAAAGCGAGGGAAAAGATGCGGGGAAGAGGCTGCGAGATCGATTTTTTCCCGACCTGCTGGTGAATCAGTAGTGAAATTTTATGTTTTTGACCCGAGAGTTTAATGAACATTGTATGCGAGTGTACGAAACATCTTTTTATTTTTCATCTTTGTTGTCATTACAGTAAATATCATTATAGTTGTAATTGTGATCACTGTGGTGCACATTATATCTACTGAGCGTCATTATCTTTATTACTAGAGTGTTACGTTATTATTATTTTCATCATCATTATTCTTGTTATCATGACTATTGAAATCAATA